TGACAAGATGAAAACCATCCTTGAGAATCACAGCACATGAAATAAATGAGCTTGAAATTGCAGAAGCAAATTTACAAGACCCTTTAAGATACCAGCTGTGACTCTACTTTCCAACGCGTCATTTCTTAGTACTTACGAGTCCATTTGGCATAGTTTGCTGCCCATGATTCAGGTACATATAGTGGTCATTGTATCCAGTGTCCAAGTACATGGCAAGAGACGGGAAAATAGAAAACAAGAAGCATCTGTTGTCACCTGCCAATTGTAAGAGGATAAAGTATCAGAGACCAGATGAAGGGCAAAAAACATGACTTGCCTACAAATATGGTAGTTAAGATCTTAAAAAGGCCCAGCTAAATATATCCAGACAAGTACTGGCATGGCAGCAGAGCCAACGTCGATGTGTAAGCAAGGCATGTAGTTACAATGCTCAGTCGCACCCTTTGAGGCCCCTTTGAAATCAAAGGGAGTGCATGTCCATCAGTGGGGGAGGCATCTGAGGTCTCTCAGGGATGTCAGAGTACTACATATAAGCTAGTCTACCCCCAATACTTGCACCAGTTTACTTTGGATTGGTTCAGTAGACCTGTACAAACATCCTGCTTCTGTCTACAGTTGCACAGATGTCAGTTAGCTCAACTTGGTGGGAGATATGTATGTGCAAAAGGACTTTGCAAGGTCCTTACTTTCCAATGCTTTGCCCTTGTTGTTGTTTATACCTGTGCAAAGATGGTACAAAGTACTATCCACCCAGCATGGTTGAATATTGTATTTGCTACTCACTTTTCACAGGGGTCATCACACATATATAATGATACATTTATCACTGTGCAAAGAATATAGACTAAGGGGTAAATTAAACCCAAGAACATTTTAGAAATTAGTCATATGCAATGCACTGAGTCAATCTATGTCTCAGGAAGTTTTTATTAGTACGTAAGAACTCTCAACAGGCTAAATTGTCTGTTGAGTCAGTGCAATGTTGAATCACTGCAAAATTTTATTAGGATTATTAGACCTTGTGTTTCCAGCTTAGTGAGTTAAAACCACAAGTTAGAAAGTGTCTCTGGCAACATCCGATTCTGTTATCCTGCCTGCCATGACAGTTTATTGAATGCAAGCGTTACAAGTCTTTTGCAAAACTTCTCAGCAATTAAAGTATGTACTAGAACATATGATAAGTAGCATTCGCAAATGAAATAACTTGACTATTTAAATCCTCCAACTCCTCTCCTCAGCATGCCCAAAGGCACCAAGTAACACACTCAATTAGGCACTGCCACATTTCATAACACTGGGATACTAGACACAAAGCAATCACATTGAAATGCTACCTTGTGTATGTTTTCCAGTGCTTTAGTTTAAGAGCACCCCAAAGTTTGTCAATGAAAAACCAGTTGAGCCAACATAAACTAAAGTTTTTAGTCAACAATCTCCACACCACTGTAATTTTAAACTGAAAACACTGACAAACAGTAGCAGAGTAAGCTGTACTGTATGCAATGGTACTGTTTTTACTATTCTGCCTAACTGTTGCTCCAGAAATAAAAGATTGCCATCTACTGGACATTTGATTTAGTCTGCAGTTTGAAGGGCTACAGTGTCTCCATCATACCCATATAGGTCCAAAAACTCAGGGGGAACTCTATCCCAGGGTGTTTATTCCAGTTAGCAAATCCTATAGGCTCTTCAAGTTGTCAGTGAATAACAAACAAGCTTTAGGCAATCACCCCAAATAGTTTTGCGTTGGCAACAGCAACGAATACCTAGACATTTATTTTTTAATGGTATCCCAGATGAGACTTTGCTTTGGAGTACAAGGAAACACGCAATGCCTATATTTTACAGGAGGATGGTATGTGTTACCAGTATCACTGGGGAATTATCAGGTCCAGGAAATGGATATCAGAGGGGATCTGTAAGGAACCACATCTCTGGAACTGTACTTTCATTATGAAAACTACATTTACTCTAGCTACAGCACAAGCCTGCCTGGTAAAGAAAGACTGTGTAAGGAAAACAATAGTGAAAGAATGGTTTGATGAAACCCTAGTTTGTAAGAATTTCTTCTATTATGATTTTGTCTTACTAATAAAATGAACTACTGTGGATATGAAAAAGAAGAGAGGAGAAGTATTACAGGTTCAAATTACTTTCTTCCATGGGGCAGATAACTTTAATTAAAAATTCCTAAGAAAAGGAGCAACTTGAAAACCCTGTAAAAGTTCCTTTCTGTCATTAAGCCAAAAGCTACTAGTAAAGTCTTCAGTGGTACATACCCGTGCAGCTACTGTGCGGTATAAGATTTAGGCAGAAAAATAAGATTCTTACCTTGAAACTGCGGTTTAACTTCCCACGAATGTGATGCAAACCCACCAAAGATGTATCCATCTGTGTCCTTTAAGACCAGTAGGCAGGGGCCCTTACTTACAATATGGCCACATAACTGTGAAAAACTTTCTCCGTGAAGCCTAGAAGAAAACAGAAGCCTCCATTTGTGCTGCAGCTCCATTGGCAGATAGGAGTTGATGTATATAATGGATGGAATGTCAAGGAGACTAACAAATCCTTCTCCTTTGAGGCCTTTGCATTTGGGAACCAAATTGACTAGGTCTTTGGCCTCATCTGGAACTGAATGAAGAACAAGGAGCCCCAGCCTGATAACAACGCTGAGGAAAGTAGAGATCTGTGGCACTCGAAACACCCAGTCCTCAATGACACTTTGATCGCACGTGGCATTCTGTAGCTCAGCACCCACGAGACTCTCTCCACCTAAATACATATTAACACAAGTTAGTGGCAAAGCTGCTTTGGGCCTCAAGTCTATGTAATTCCTTAAGAAAACAAGTTTTTTTTCATTCAAGATCCAAAAATCAGTATTTCCAATATATTAGCAATGCATGCCGACAGAGCAAAAGATAGCTGAAACTGGCAACAAGATCGAGTAAATATACCTGGAAAGAAGGGCAGCAGCTTGAAACAACCAGTAGCTGTGCGTAAAAGGTGGCAAGGAACCATGATGTCTTTATTATAACAGATAGTAGGAAATGAGGGGTCTAATATAATGGCTTTAAAGAGAACCATAAAGGGATACAGATGCCCCAAAACACCCTTCAAAATGCGAGCTAGGTGGTTGTACAATGTTTTACAAAACTTAGCCGTAAATCTGCAATTGGGACTGAACTGGGGCTTCAAGGCCAAAAGCCACTGGAACTCCAACAAGCAGCTTGTACGGGTAATTAAAAGTCCCAGATCTGATCTCAATCCTCAAGTCTTTGGTTTTTGATCTAATTTAAATCCAAGGCAGATATGGCTCAAGGAAACAGATCTCACAGGAAGAGTGGATTTTGTGAGGTCTGTGCCTCATGCTCCTTCAGTATGTTCAAGCGCACCTGCAGGTCTCAGTTCCGACAGCAGCTGAGAAGCCAGTGTCTTTACTCCGCTGGCAACATCTCGAGTCTTTTCCAGATCCCAGCCCTTCAGCTCCTTCCTATAGTTCAGTACATGGACTGCAACAGTGACGAGATGCTCTGTGAACTTAAAGGTGATTGTGATCCCATTACAAACTCCGTATCAAACGAAAAAATCACCAAGAACCTCACCAAAGCACCCCACATGCTTAGCAGCAAGGGCGACCATCAGTGCAGATGGCAGTAATCTGACTGACCAAGACACCTACTGCTGTACTTAAGTGTTAGAAGTATCGCCCATCTGCATTACACCCTTCCCTCAAATGCTTTATACGCCTCTGCTCTCTCGACATTTTTGTAAGAGACAGCTCTTATACATGGGCAAACTGTGACAGAAATAAAGGGCGGTGTCATTTACAAGTAGTCCAAACGGGGCAGTGGCAGAGGAATTCTGCTCAGTTTTGCTCAGTTCTCCGGGGAGCAGGTGGGTTGTCCCCTCCTGACTGTTCTCCCATTGAGCCACTCCAGACCAGCATTGGGGAGAGCAGTATGAACAAGGAACAGTCACTGAGTTCTTCTAAGTCCAGCCACTGCCTTGCAAGAGGGCTACCCAATGGGCACGGCTCAGAGAAGGCAGCAGCGGAAAAGTCCACAGGCTCTCCTCCCCTTGGAACACCTGCCACACACACCTGGCCCCAAAATACACCCAAAGTCAGAGCCAGTCCTAATTCTCTGTGTTGTGCTCTAACCACTACCTCCAAACAAATGTCCAGTTTTAAACAAAAGCCAATGAATTTCCCCTTCACCTCTTGGATCTGTTTCCTCGTCACAGGCCCTGCCGTCTCAGAGATCATTCCCATTATGATGCCACTCTTCTCATCTGCCAGGCCTTTTAAAAGGTATGACATAAACATTACAAACTGCTCCTTAACAATCTGTTCACTTGGCCCAGCAGCCTTCCCAGGCAGGTTGACACTCCTCATTCCATTGAATAATCTGATGGTCATCTGCTCTGGTAACGCTTGCTGTGTGTAGGCCTGTCAGGGAAAGAAGCAAGAGGGACAGGTTTGAACTTGGAAGAAGAAGAATTCTAAATAGCATTAAAGCTACTACGTGCCTAAGTGCAGTGGTTATGACCAACATCTAATAGATACGAATAGCGTCAAGCCTGTACTGAATCACTTCTCCAAAAGACAATCCCCATCTTTAATCAATCATTTTATAGCATCCCCAGTTATAGTGTCCAGGCTTCCAGTAAGCTGTTGTTTGACTTTCAGGTAAAGGCCATGACAGTTTTACAACAACTCTGTTAGGACTGAATTTTGGAAGAGTTAAAAAGACACAAATCAAGGCTCTCCATAAGAAAACATGGATTCAGAGGCTTGCAGCTCAGGGGTCACCGGGCAAAATAGCAGGAACTTCACTCAAGCCTTTGCAGTAACACTGGTATAGAGGCAGCAAAGTCCCTTTGCTGGATTAAATTTCATAGGTTCAGTTTTATTTCTAATGAAGCCAATGAAAATGCTGTAGCTGCATCATAGCAGCCATTACACACAGCTTCAACCCATTCCCGCTGACATCAATTGTAAAACGCCCACTGATTTCACCGGGAGCAGAACTGAAAGCAAGTCTTAGCCATGACAGTATATTGAGGGCAGAGCTGCTTTAGGAAAGCACCATAGGAGCCTACAGTGAGGCAAGCTGCAGGAAACTCCTGTAAGCAGCTTACCCAATGACTTCAGAGCTGCATCACTATCCCACATCTCCCTCTGTCATCACTACAACTACACTGTTCTGTCCTAGGAGATACAGGATGGCTTAGCAGGCTCATACATGAGACTAACACTTCTCCTTGCCTTCACATTTCCTTTTTAAACGGGGTTTGAAGAGAACTAACAACACTAAAATGACAGCGGTCATTGTTCTCCTGAACAGATCCAAAATAGCAAGAGTTATATTACACCCCTCAGTCAGCAACTTATTTTTTGTTTCATGGCAACAGCTGGAGCTCCCAAACAGAGCAAAAGCTCTTGTACCATCGGATATTTTAAAGGGATTCAGGCAGATGGGAGCTTTTCTAAATCTCCCTAGGTCCCTACCTGCATCTTTAAGGACTTATATAGCTTTAATAAAAAGAGCTGGCCTTTCTAATCTAAATAGATGGGAGACAGAGACTAAGGGTGACAGGAGAAACTGAAAAAATGTGATTGTCCAAGGCCACAGCAAGTTAGTGTCAAAGACAAGAAGGGAACCTAGGTCTTCAGGTTACCAGGTGCTAGATATTTAAAGATCTCATTGATTTACGAGTTAGATACCTAAATACTTTAAATATCTGGCCCTTCACCATGTTGCTGCTTTCCTTCAACTTTATTTCAATGATCCTATAACATGTGACGCTTATATAAAAATATGCTCTTTGTATTGTCATAAGTTACACATTTGCCTCCTGTCCCACTCAAGTTGTCAAGGATTACAAAAAAAATATTTTCCCCTCTTTTCTTGATTACAAAATCAGCGCAAAGCAAATCAGTTTGGAATATATGTTAACGAGGTAAAGCATACAGCCTTGGCTTCATCAAGCAAAATTAAATTCTCTCTCTTCCGGCCAAGTCTGAAGATTAGTGGCTGTGGGTGCAGTTGAAAGAGAACGATATGAGCAAACACGAATCTAATTATGTTACAACTTGCCAAGAATTTCTGTAAATTACAACACATCATAAATTCTGCAATATTCTCTCCCTTGGAGGGTTTTGACAAAAGATATTTGCATATTTGAGTTAGTTCATAACTGCAATTCATGTTGTTTATTCTGTTGAGTGCAATTCAAAAGATACCAAGTACAAAAACAGTGACAGTTAACCTTAAACTGTAAGAGAAAAATTATAAGAGCCTACAAATGCCAAACTGTGTCAAATAAGGGGCCCATGCTCACCCAGTATCTTATCTGATGGGGCAAATGGCAGATGATTTAAAAGAACTATATTAGAAACAGGGCATGAGTAGAGTTATTCAATCCATCATACTCAGGGCTACATGCCTAATTGTTGTATTTAATAGCCTCTGATGGACCTGTGCTCCATAAATCTAATCCCTTTCTGAACCTCCTTCTCCATACAGACATATTTAATGTGATATTAAAATGTAATACTGTCCATAATTAACTGCCCACAAGTATGCATTTCTCTTCTAAAGTAATATTCTACACGTTACATTACAGATATATCACGATTGATGGATTGTTCTTGCCTTTAGCTTTGCCAGAGTCACAAATTTTCTGGTGGTTTTTTCATTCTTTACTCCTGCTGGACCATCCACCCCAGATAAGGTATCAAATACTTTATCAATATCCGTCTGTTCTTCAGGAAGAAACCTGGAAAGATGATTCTGATAGGAGCTGCTTTCTGTGTTGCCCATCTTTCCAGAAAGGTGATGGAGTCCTGCAATGGAACAAACAGAGAGAAAAAAGACAAATAAAAGCATGAAAAGATTGATTTAGAGGGGAGGAAGGGAGACCCAATCCCCCCTTCCTCCCCTGCTCCCATAACACACCCACACCTTGGTGATAAAAGAAAGAATTCCTGACCTACAGGCACAAATTTTGCAAGTTGAAATAATTTAATTACACACAAAGTACTGCAAGTACAGCAAAAACAGAGATTCAATGCACTCAAAGGAAACAATATAAACATTAAATAGTATTAAAACACCTAATGTGTTTTTTAAACCACACACACTACGCTCGCCCTTTCTACCAACACACACATCACTTAAGGCTTATCAAATGGAAAAACCAATAAGATCTGACAACTAAATTAGTTTATACAGAGCTAATGTAAAAATGTCAGTTGGAATACATCAGGAGAGGCAAACCAATTACGTTGTTTCTTTCTGATGTTTCTTTCTGATGGACTGAAGCCAACCTCTGCCAATAGCACTTAGGAGCAAAATTGTACCTGCCATAGGCAAGGAGTCAATAATGCAGAACAGGTGAAAACTTTTTCTATACACCGAATTTGTGCACCAAATTTTCAAGGCTTCTAGGATGAGACTCGTCCCTGTCATTTTCAGTAAACTGCAACTGAATTGCAGACTGTCCACAATTTACTAAAAATGAGTCAGTCTGATGGCTGCTAGTAGAAGCTTTGGAAATGAGGGGAGATAAGAGCTATAAAAGTGACTAGCTCAGATCAGTGTCAAGGTTTCTAATAGCAACCCTCTGACAGCTCTTCCCCGTCACCATTTCTGTCTAGTTAGCAAAGATGTCATGAAGCAGATAGCGAGGCTGAAAGATACTGGGCACTTACACAGCTTGTGTACTTCAGTGATATGCAGATAGCTACAATAGAAACCATCAGTAACGAGCGGGGACCACTGTTGTGTTTATGGTGTTAAACAAATGTCACTGATCCAGTAGTGCACGTAGGTGGAGTACACTGTGCTCAGCTGCCTCCACGGCCCTGGAGGTGCGTGTGGGGGGACGTCTTCACAGCCAGACAAACCGTGCCAGCGGAGTGACTCAGAGCAGGCAGTGTAAAGCCACCTTTCCTGTTCCTCCACTGCGCTTGGGGCTGAGCATGTCTCAACCAGCAGAGAATTGCACCCTGCATGGTTTAGTTAAAGATTACACGAACTTCCACTTCCTTTCTATTGTATTGATAGTGAATAAACTGTACTCCTTTGGTTGGCAAGTGGCACCTCTCCTCCCTGGATTTTTTTTTTTTTTTTAAGTTTGCCAACATTTCCTGCTTTCCCTGGTGGTTTGGAATCAGCTTCCACCTCCTGCCCTTTTCACCCCAAGATGGAGAAATCTGCCATGGGAGAAAGTCAGGATGTGCTGAAATCAGTTTAACCGGAGAGTTTAACCCTTCCCTGCCTCCCCCAAATCCCTATGAGTGCCACGGCCATGCCACAGGGAGATGTGAACCAAAGCCCAAGCCACTCCAGACTGGATTTCTCTCCGTGGCCCCAAGTCCTGGGACCTCCTGGTCAGTAAGTCCTTAAGCTGGTGAGCCACCTGACCAGGAAGGAGGCTCCAGCTAGGAGGACCCCGGCAGGGCCAGCTTCCTGCCTCTCATCTGTTCCTGGCAAAGTAGAGCGGGGGGGCGACACGGTGGATCCAGCTGCCAGCCAGCCTCCATTTCCCAGCAGCCCCTGCCAGCATGACTGGGGCTGGTTTCCACGGAGAACACAGCAGCAGCCGCAGGGTGATACCACAGGGGCCAGGGTTTCCATGGAGACCGGCCCCAGCCACGCTGGCAGGGTACACAGCAAGGCAGGGAGCTGCTTCGGGGCATAGCCAGATTAACGCCCAGGCCAGGACTTCCTGGTGGCCCCAGCATCGCCAGGTCCCAGCTTGGCCGCGATCCTGTGTGCTGGCCGCCAGCCGGACCGAGCCCCGGTGGGGCAAGGGGCTGCCCCCGAAGCTCGGTCACGACCACTGAGGTCTGCTCGAGGGCCTGAGGACTGGTCCAGAGCCAATGGTTGGTGTCCCCATCCCCAATGCCGGGGCTAGGAGAAGAGCCAGCAATGCCACCCCCAGGCAGACATGTGACCCGCCCTCAGCTTGCACGGACATGAATATTAACGACCTGCTCTTGCATATTCATGAACCCTCCTTCTCACCCAGCCTATGTGACATCAATGGCCAGCAGCAGGACATGAATAGGAATAACCAGCATCTAATTAATACGTGGAAAGGGACATGCCCCCTCATTAATATTTATAACTACAGTTCATGCATATGGTAAACCAGACACACACACATCACAATTAATTATTAATAATTAGATTAATATTAACAATATGAACTGCCTGGTCATTAATATTAACCAATATGCATGAGCAGTGACACTGCTGATTTGCAGAACATGGCCACGCCCACCACTCATTATTATGAATGAGGCTGTTTGGTCACGCCCATTTCACCGCGACTCTGAATAGTAATGAGGCTCCTTGCTGGCCACGCCTATCTCATGAATATCAATGACGCTCCTTGACGGGTGACCACGCCCAGCTCATGAATATCAACATAGCTGCTTGGTGATCACGCCCTTATTTATTAATACGCATGAGGCCAGTCTCGGACCACGCCCACCTCTGGTTAATAGCCCTGGGGCCAAACAACCAGCACCTCCCCGCCCCTGTCTTTAATATTCATGAGGCCACGCCCCCTCCCGTGACTCACCGCCCTTGCGCGCGGCCC